AATAGATCAGTGTTGTTAGTAAAGATACAATGTTGTTTATTCCTGTGTGATAATAGACCAGTGTTGTTAGTAAAGATACAATGTTGTTTATTCCTGTGTGATAATAGACCACTCTTGTTAGCAAAGATACAATGTTGTTTATTCCTGTCTGCTAATAGACCAGTGTTGTTAGTAGAGATACAATGTTGTTTATTCCTGTCTGATAATAGACCAGTGTTGTTAGTAAAGATACAATGTTGTTTGTTCCTGTCTGATAATAGACCAGTGTTGTTAGTAAAGATGCAATGTTGTTTATTCCTGTCTGATAATAGACCAGTGTTGTTAGTAAAGATACATTGTTGTTTGTTCCGGTGTGATAATAGATCAGTGTTGTTAGTAAAGATACAATGTTGTTTGTCCCGGTCTGATAACAGACCAGTCTTGTTAGTAAAGATACAATGTTGTTTGTCCCGGTCTGATAACAGACCAGTCTTGTTAGTAAAGATACAATGTTGTTTGTTCCGGTGTGATAATAGATCAGTCTTGTTAGTAAAGATACAATGTTGTTTGTCCCGGTCTGATAATAGACCACTCTTGTTAGTAAAAATACAATGTTGTTTGTCCCGGTCTGATAACAGACCAGTGTTGTTAGTAAAGATACAATGTCGTTTGTTCCGGTGTGATAATAGATCAGTGTTGTTAGTAAAGATACAATGTTGTTATTTCCTGTGTGATAACAGATCAGTCTTGTTAGTAAAGATACAATGTTGTTTGTTCCGGTGTGATAATAGATCAGTGTTGTTAGCAAAGATACAATGTTGTTATTTCCCGTGTGATAATAGGTCAGTCTTGTTAGTAAAGATACAATGTTGTTTGTTCCCGTGTGATATAGATCAGCCTTGTTAGTAAAGATACAATGTTGTTTGTCCCGGTCTGATAACAGACCAGTCTTGTTAGTAAAGATACAATGTTGTTTGTCCCGGTCTGATAATAGACCACTCTTGTTAGTAAAAATACAATGTTGTTTGTCCCGGTCTGATAACAGACCAGTGTTGTTAGTAAAGATACAATGTCGTTTGTTCCGGTGTGATAATAGATCAGTGTTGTTAGCAAAGATACACTGTTGTTATTTCCTGTGTGATAATAGATCAGTCTTGTTAGTAAAGATACAATGTCGTTTGTTCCGGTGTGATAATAGATCAGTCTTGTTAGTAAAGATACAATGTTGTTATTTCCTGTGTGATAACAGATCAGTCTTGTTAGTAAAGATACAATGTTGTTTGTTCCGGTGTGATAATAGATCAGTGTTGTTAGCAAAGATACACTGTTGTTATTCCCGGTCTGATAATAGATCAGTCTTGTTAGTAAAGATACAATGTTGTTATTTCCTGTGTGATAACAGATCAGTCTTGTTAGTAAAGATACAATGTTGTTTGTTCCGGTGTGATAATAGATCAGTGTTGTTAGCAAAGATACAATGTTGTTATTTCCCGTGTGATAATAGGTCAGTCTTGTTAGTAAAGATACAATGTTGTTTGTTCCCGTGTGATATAGATCAGCCTTGTTAGTAAAGATACAATGTTGTTTGTCCCGGTCTGATAATAGACCAGTCTTGTTAGTAAAGATACAATGTTGTTTGTCCCGGTCTGATAATAGATCAGTCTTGCTAGTAAAGATACAATGTTGTTATTTCCTGTGTGATAATAGATCACTCTTGTTAGTAAAGATACAATGTTGTTATTTTCAGTGTCGGACCTCGTGTGAGAGATGAACTGTTGTAAAGATAGGACTGTTCCCGATACTAGTCAGACTAGGTCTGCAAGTTTTACCACATCAGAGCCCGAAGGAGAGGAAAACAGGGCTAGGCAGCATGGTAGGTGCAGTGTGTCTGACGTCCACTATGTCAGGACAAGGCAGCAGGGTAGGTGCAGTGTGTCTAACGTCCCCTTTGTCAGGACAAGGCAGCAGGGTAGGTGCTGTGTGTCTAACGTCCACTATGTCAGGGCTAGGTAGTATGGTAGGTGCAATGTGTCTGACGTCCACTATGTCAGGGCTAGGTAGTATGGTAGGTACAGTGTGTCTGACGTCCACTATGTCAGGGCTAGGCAGCATGGTAGGTGTAGTGTCTGACGTCCACTATGTCAGGACTAGGCAGCATGGTAGGTGCAGTGTGTCTGACGTCCACTATGTCAGGGCTAGGTAGTATGGTAGGTGCAATGTGTCTGACGTCCACTATGTCAGGGCTAGGTAGTATGGTAGGTGCAGTGTGTCTGACGTCCACTATGTCAGGACTAGGTAGTATGGTAGGTCTGACGTCCACTATGTCAGGACTAGGTAGTATGGTAAGTCTGACGTCCACTATGTCAGGACAAGGCAGCATGGTAGGTGCAGTGTGTCTGACGTCCACTATGTCAGGGCTAGGTAGTATGGTAGGTGCAATGTGTCTGACGTCCACTATGTCAGGGCTAGGTAGTATGGTAGGTGCAGTGTGTCTGACGTCCACTATGTCAGGACTAGGTAGTATGGTATGTCTGACGTCCACTATGTCAGGACTAGGTAGTATGGTAAGTCTGACGTCCACTATGTCAGGACAAGGCAGCATGGTAGGTGCAGTGTGTCTGACGTCCACTATGTCAGGACTAGGTAGTATGGTAGGTGCAGTGTGTCTGACGTCCACTATGTCAGGGCTAGGTAGTATGGTAGGTGTAGTGTGTCTGACGTCCACTATGTCAGGGCTAGGCAGTATGGTAGGTGTAGTGTGTCTGACGTCCACTATGTCAGGACTAGGTAGTATGGTAGGTGCAGTGTGTCTGACGTCCACTATGTCAGGGCTAGGTAGTATGGTAGGTGTAGTGTGTCTGACGTCCACTATGTCAGGGCTAGGCAGTATGGTAGGTGTAGTGTGTCTGACGTCCACTATGTCAGGACTAGGCAGCATGGTAGGTGCAGTGTGTCTGACGTCCACTATGTCAGGACTAGGTAGCAGGGTAGGTGCAGTGTGTCTGACGTCCGCTATGTCAGGACTAGGCAGCATGGTAGGTTTGACGTCCACTATGTCAGGACTAGGTAGTATGGTAAGTCTGACGTCCACTATGTCAGGACAAGGCAGCATGGTAGGTGCAGTGTGTCTGACGTCCACTATGTCAGGACTAGGATGCTGGGTTCGTGCACAGGTTTTATGATATCCGAAAATGAACCATGTGAGAGATGTAGTGAAAGCAATATTTACAGTCCGGTATTAAATATTATCTCTTCGATGTCATACAGGATGCAGTGGCTGTCCCCAAAGATGGCTGCTGGCACTCGTGGGATGTTTCGGAGGAATCATGGTGGAATCGGGCAGGGCCGGTCTCAGCATGGCGATCGTGTGCATGGTGAACGACACAGACAGCAGCGTCAACAACGCAGCTAACAGTTCATCAAAATTTACTGAGGTACTGGTTCAGAACTCGGAGGTACTGGTATATAACAAGGAACAACTGTGTTGATTCTGGCGAAGCTGCGAGAAATGCTTGAATCCATACTCCTTAAATATAATTTATTCACCCTAAGTTACACTTCTTTTTCAAAGCATTAATTTTCACAGTTGATTTTCGTTTAAAAAGTAATCCTTTGAAACTGACTGTCCTCTTAGTTAACAGGCTCTCTTCCCCTCCCACAGCGTTCATTTTTGTTATCTTAAAAGAAGAAAACTACATATGCCACAGTTTAAATTTGTTTTGTGTTTTATTTGTGTTAATATTTATCAATCGAGCGTATTAATACAACATGTATTTTCAAATTCAACATTTGAAATATGTAATTCTCACAGCTCTGTACATTGTGTTTTTTAGCATGCTGAGTTCTACTGGTCCAAAACGGAACAATCTGGAATGCTCAGCGCTTATTTCTATGGTTACATGGTTGTACAAATCCCAGGGGGCTGGTTGGCTGGAAGATATGGCGGGAAAAACGTCATGTTTATCGGGATGCTGATTGGCTCGGTCGCATCTTTGCTTCTACCAATCGGAGCCCGGACTACAAAATATCTTGTATACGTCCTACGAGGGCTTCTTGGCATTTCACAGGTAGGTCTTTCCGTTTTTAACATGTGTTGATAGTACGTCTCGTCATTACATTGTTTCAGATGTGATGTCGACAATGAAGCATGTAACAAGAGTGAGTGAGTGAGTGTAGGTTTATGTCGCACTCTGCAATATTCCAGCACATCATCGAATCTGGACCAGACAATCCAGTGATCAACAACATGAGTATCGATCGACGCAATTAGGATGCGATGACATGTGTCAATGAGCCTGACCACCTGATCCCTTTAGTCGCCTCTTACGACGAGCATGGGTTGCTGAAGACCAATTCTAACCCGGATGTTCCCGGTTTCAAATCTCTACAGTGATCATGTTATATCACGGCGAAAAGGTTTAATATGGACGGAAATCCTGAAGTGACGTGGTTTCAGGCGACAACCATTATAGTGAAACCCATGAACACCGGCATGATGCAAGCAGACCTGGAAACATCATGGGGGCGAACAGGGATTCGAACTCAAGAACACAGGTTTTTGGCGTGCCCATGGGACGCAACTCTACACAGCAACTGCAGCATCATACACATGTTCACCTCTTGGGGATGTAGTATTTAGGCAGTGTTTAGGCTGTGAGGCGGTAGCTCATTCTACGTGTTCTTACCTTGAATACAAAAATGTATACTGATGTACAAAAGAAAGTACACACCTGGTGTTTTGAGACTATCAAAACAACGTCAATATTTTGCGAGCAATGTTCCAATTGGGTACGATATCTATGGTGTTATTGCAACACGTACACAATGTTTGTGAGTTGTGAGTCGCAATCAAAACACTTTTCTAAATATCACGCTGTTTTCAGGAAAACATTTTACCAAAGCATCAGGTGTGTACTTTCTTTTGTAAGTCAGTTTATATTTAGGATTTAATCACATTTTTAAACGGTTAAATGTAAACATACATTGTACATTCTAGACACTCTTACAGAGTAATAATTAATCCTTTTATATTGGGCTAAATCCACACCGACGGCACGCTCATAGAGTAGACAACTAATGCCCAAGATAACCCAAGCTGCCTGTGATGCGCTAGACTGACTGACTGAGTTTAGTTTTACGCCGCTTTTAGCAATATTCCAGCAATATCACGGCGGGGGACACCAGAAATGGGCTTAACACATTGTGCCCATGTGGGGAATCGAACCCGGGTCTTCGGCGTGACGAGCCAACGCTTTAACCACTAGGCTACCCCACCGCCCCGATGCGCTAGAAGGTTATATATAGTCATATGACTTATCCCACCGGGTACCCATTTTCTGTTGAGTGAAGTGTACGCTGTTTGTAACTATTTACTAATTCTATCCCAGAATCCCAATCAGGGCAATTTTTCTGAATGGATCATTGTTCATCGACATGATCAAAGATCGATCTGTTAGTCTTCAAATTTATTACATTACCTTTTCTTTTTATATCTGACATATTTTATGGAATTTATGAATACATATGACAATATTTCTCACTTTGCCAAGGGAGTGTACTTATTCTCCATGCACACAATGTGGGGGAAATGGGCGCCGCCATTAGAGAGGACAAAACTACTGGCCGTAGCCTATGCAGGTAAATATCAAATACAGATTACAGTTGAAGGTCATTTGACGATGTACATTTTGCTATATTCATACTTTTTTGTATAGTGATATACGTTAAGCAATTATATGAATTTATTAATTAAACTTCAGTCTATTTTTTTGGTTAAGAATTTCTTTACATTAATTTAGCATAGTTATTGAACACTATTCTGTAAGTACTTATTAACAACTGTGAGTAGCCTAGTACGCTAGTTAGGTCGAATACTCTGGTTCGATTCCAAACATGGGTATAATGTGTAAAGCTTATTTCAGTCTGGTGTCGTGATATTGCTGGAATGCGGCTAAAGGCGGCGTACAACCATACTCACTCACTCTAAACTGTAATATCCAAACAGTAACAATGTAGAAGACATTTAATACTTAGCTTATAACAATGACAAGAGAATTGGAAATCATCTTAGGTCGTATACGTAACGTAGTCATTCTCCGGAGTCTCGTCTCGTCATCCTTTATTTATTCAAGTCAATTTAAGATGGGCTTAATGCTAGCAGTAAACATCCATGTTCTCTAGTTACGTGGCAGATACATACAATCCTCACATAATATAGACTTTAAACCTTCGACAAGGTCACCTAGATTCAGGAGCTGCAGTCAACAATTCTCGTGGATGACAATATTTACTGCTTCAGTGGAAGTTTTTAAAAATAACTTGACAGCAACCCCATAAATTGTGTCCACCCTATAATTCTTCAACTTCCAAGAGATGGCTACCAAACGAAACAAATTTAGTGATCTCCGCAAAGATCCCCTATACAAGTGAGGTGAGGTGACTCAATGGGTGAGGTGAGGTGAAATTGGGTTAACGTCGTGCTTGAGAATATTTCGCTCATATGACGACGTGCATGCGTGTGTATGTGTATGTGCGGCTGCTTGTACTAGCCCAGACTTAAGCTGGTTTTATAGTGCTAGCCCACTGAGATACCATGCCGCAGTGAGGCATAAATACCCTACTCAGACACATTATACTGACTCCGAGCCGACCAGTCCTTGTTGTACCCATTAATGCCGAGCGCCAGACAGGGACCAACAAGTACCATATTTTAACGTCTTTTGGTATGACGCGGTCGGGGATTGAACCCGAGACCTTCCGCTCTCCGGGCGAACGCTCTAACCACTACACCACAGAGGTGCCCCCCACCTATACAAGTGGAAGCTCGAGCACATTACGGGACCTAACTTTCTTCAGAAGTAACACTTGTGCTTGTTTAGAAGCCTGTCATCAACAACAAAAAAATATGGTGGCCGAGAGGGGACACCGCTTTATACGGCCGTAAGAAAACGATAAAGCGATAGCACGTGAAAGGCGTGGTGTTTGAAGTCGATAAAGAGATGACTTCTATGAACTGTTTTCAGAAAATAGTAACCAAAAAGGTTCCTCTCAGCGTGTAAACGTGTTGCTGCTAATTATACCAAAAATAGTGAAATAATAACAGACTTAAAAGGTAGCCTTGTCTAACACAGGTCGTGTTCAAATACATGTATCCTGTTATGTACCAGGGCCTAGATTTTCGAAGCTCTCTTAGCGCTAAGATAGTCGTAAGTTAATGTTAATGAATGGCACTTACGACTATCTTAGCGCTAAGAGAGCTTCGAAAATCTAGACCCAGGGCCCTAAGAATTCTTAACTTTGATTAAGGATGTGTTAAGGATGTGCTTAAGAAGTTCTTAGGGCTACGAACGTTTCGAGAATAGCTAGCCAGGGCCCTGATCCACAAAATGTTCGTAGCGCTACGACATTCGTTACAGGTCGTAACGTTACGAACGCTTTGTGGATCGGGGTCCAGTTTCGTAGCTACGCCTCAGAAAATAATCCTTGTTATCAGTAATTTAATGAACACCTCTCCTCTTTATGACGAAACAGTACAGATTTTTATATTTGCAATTAATCAAAAGTCTACGAACAGTATATTTGTGAGAGATACCACTGCACATGACGATTGTGCTGCTTGGATACGACCTTATCTCGTTGCTTTGTTGTGAACGCCGAACTCCGCAATATTCCAGCTATATGTAAATGTGTAAATAATCGTGTCAATCCAATCAACAACATGAGCACCGAACTCCGCAATTGGGATACGATAAATGTAAATGTCTTCCTGAATAAGTCGATAAGTCCAGCAGTGGCTCCTGATCTGATTTCGACCCTTATTCTTCAGTAACGACCATTCTTCTCATGCTAATGTGTTAAGCCAATTTTTAGTGTCCCACGTGATATTGCTGGAATATTGCTAAAAGCGGCGTAAAACTAAACAAACTCACTCTTCTCATTTTCTAAACTCACAAATCCATCAAGAGTGTCATTATCATTAGTATCAGCTCATTACTGGCCTATTTATCGAAAAACACCAGTTAAGTTCAGAATGTGTTTGTGAGTACGCACATAGTAGTGCGTTCATTTCTTAAGTCATCTTGTCTTCACTTCTTGTCCTCACTTCTTGTCTTCACATTTCAACCTCGTTTCGTTTCAAATTAAATTCGCGGTAACATGTACAGGCTAAGTGGCTTTATTTTGAAAACACAGTATTTATATCTCATAAATTAACTGCATGATATAAGTCAACCAAAGGCATAATGTTTGATTGTTGTATAATCGCTTCAGCCGTGAGTATTTTATAATTAAACTATTAAACTGGAAATTAGTTCGTTCCTAAACCGAATAATGGATTGCAGCTGGTGTAATATACCACACATGTTAGTGCCGTGACGTATTTCCTATGCAGGTCCTAAGGTGGGGAGCATAGCTGTCTTCGCCATGTCGGGTTACCTGTGCAAGTACGGCTTCGACAATGGATGGGCTTCCATGTTTTATTTAACAGGTAACATCTGATCCGTGTATACGTTTGTTTAGTTACATGCATTTTTACATGTACATTTTGTTTCAGTTAGTTGATTCAAAGGATTAATACCATCGGATTGGATATGTTTGGGTTCGTTATCTAGAGGGGAAGGCGGAAGAGAGATTAACTATCACTCTTAATGCAATCAAGGACGTATTTCTATATATTCAAGCAATGTATTCGAGGCAAGTGGTCTTCACTTACAGTGTGAATTCTCAAATGCTCAAGAGAGTATTTTCTTGACGTTAGATATTCTCAAAAAAGAAAATATTTTCAACTTGTCATTGTAACCGTGGCTATAGTTACACGTCTTTTCAAAAACCTTCCGGACAAATAAAAGCTTACAAAATGAATGTAAAAAGATGAAAAAAGTTGTGAAATGGCTGACTTCCTGGTAGATTACACCTATGTGAAAATAGATAGAACGTTGGGATAAATGGAATATGGATAGAACGTTTTAGACAAGCATCAGTCATGCAGTCATCAGTCATGGGAACGAATCCTGCTCTCCTCAAAAGCAACATCCAAAGAATATATTTTAGCCAAGAAGTTGAACTTAACTGCAGGGACATCAATGATCTAATTACGATAGTAAAATAACGGGCAAAAAGCCAATTCTCAGCCATAAGCTACACGTGATAAAAAGCTCATTTCATATTTTGATCTATGCACATATATTTAGATTAAAGGGGTTCTTCACAACACGGATGACTTCATTTTTTTCAACTTTATCTTTATGTCCAAGAGTATTCCAGCAGCTTCTACCTTTAGTGTTTATGTTTGACTACCTTTGAGGTAAAATATGTCATGCCCTTTCAAAGAACGCCATGCGACACTTGATCGAAAGCTGCATGATCTGGTTCCGACATCCAAGGCTCCAGTAAAGCTTTCAAAACGTTTCATGTTACACATATGGAGGACGTTTCCTAATTTGAAGCATTAGCGCTAAATTAATGTCAGATGCAATTTATTCTTTTGACGTGCACCTTATGTTCACGTGCTTTTTCAATGACAGTTGACTTGGCTTTCCGTGTTTTTGATGACGGGGCCATCGTTGGGTGAGGATACAGCGTCCATACTGTATTTGTAATTGTGTCCTACCAGTTCTGAATAATGGGGGACCCGTGAAGATCCGGCGGCGTTTAATCAAACTCTCCCTACCTCCCCCCCTCTCCCTCTCTCACGCCCCCCTCTCTCCCCTTCCCTTCTTCCCTCTCGCTCTCCCCCCTCTTCTCTCTCTCTCTCTCTCTCTCTCTCTCTCTCTCTCTCTCCCTCTCTCTCTCTCTCTCTCTCTCTCTCTCTCTCTCTCTCTCTCTGTACTGTGTGAGGCAGTACTACCGGGTACTCTTTGTAGGTGGTATCACGATGATCTGGTGCGGAGTGTGGTACTATACTGTCGCCAGCACCCCGTCTCAACATCGCCGCATCTCACAAGTAGAGAAGGACCACATCATAAGGAGCATTGGAGAGAAAGAGAACGTAAGCTTGTTACTACGATGTTATGGCTGAAAACACCACAGCTCATGAAATCCATTTATCATTTGCTTTTTTAAAGTCTGCAAGTCACTTGTGACATTTGTGATTTCTTCTGCAGATCTCATAATCAATCATTTAGAGTTAATTCACTAATTCGAGTTAAAGGCATCCCAGTTAAAGTCTGTCGACATTTAAAGGTTCGGATGATACCATATATATTGATACATTCCATGCCAATCACAATGTGTACCTGTGTTTCTGTGTAGTATAACCTTAACATTACTGTTGTGTTGGCAGAATCACAAGACGCCATGGTGGGCCATGGTGTCGTCTCCGGCCACGTGGGCGTGCGTTACCGGACACGTGTGTTTTAACTGGACAGCATACACATTAACCACAAATACGCCTCTATTTCTGAAAGAAGTGTTGAACTTTGACATAACTGAGGTACGTTAACTCGCATAAGCATGAGCTATAGGTGTGGCGATCACCTTCACGTGTCAACCTTACCTGTCTGTTTAACTCCTGGGAGCCAATATAGTCTTATAGTGTTACAATATTTGAATATCAACTTTAGCCGAGTTCATGTGCACGAGAATCCCTTGCGGTCAACCTGTAGTAGGGGAGACCGGGGTCAATTGTAACACTTTTAACTTAACTTCTTGTAATTCGATACTACTCGACCGCTCACCAAGTTAATCGGTACTAACTAGTACATTGGCATCTTGGTTTTTAAACCTCAGTGTCATTTAAAGTTCACTAACGTGTCGTTACAAAGTTATTACGTATCAAATGCAATGACTGCAAGTATTACAATTGATTAACATTAAACCTTTATCACCATCGACATTTAAAATGTTTTTGGTTTAAATTCTTGTATTGGTATGCCCAAAATATAATACAAAGACTAGCACCAAAATATGTCACCCGAGGGCTGATACTATCAACATAACACTGAACATATATTTTTACTTCAAAATATGTCGTAATACCTCAATTTTACACTTGTTAATTAGTTTCATACCAAGCAACATTTACTGCATTTAACCATTTATTACGTTTTGTGAAAATTTTATTTTCCTATGTGAAAAACGATTCTTCGTCAGCTGTATCTCGCCATGAGCGAGCAGCTGAAAAACGCCTGGATGTGTACCGTAGGAAAGTAAAGGGAAATAACTCTACTCACCTACACAATGCTTGAGCGAAAACGATTAGAGTAATCGCCCTTGTTACAATTGACCCCGGTCACAGGACACCGAGACTTATCATCACAGTCCACTCATCAAATAACATACAGTACATTATGAACACAATTTCTTCTAAAAGTCTTTTCATAAAGGAAAGTAAGGAAAAAGGCTCTCTCTCATCAAGGAAATATGGTGTTGACTGAAATAAACCAGAAATGGCTTTCCATGGTGATGTGTTTCCCAGCTAACAATTTCACGTTGTCACAACAATTTCACGACTTATACGTTGTCACGTTATAGGTTTAGCGTTAATAGTTGAACGTTAATAGTTGAATAGTTTTCCAAGTAGTGAACAGTACATAAGAAACAAAGCAGAAATTCACTTCAATGTTTATTAGTCAATTTGCAGGTTGTTTTGGTCGTGTGTTTTCTGAAGCTGCAGCTAAATAGTGCAGAATGAATCTCAAAGTTTTATAGAAAACTCTACCCTCACACCAAGTTATTGTGTAATAGTGGTTTCACAATGTTTTGACAACGTATATACCGTATTCCCTCTAATATGGGTACGGTTTTTTTAATAAATGTATTCTCCCTTGATCCCAAAATAGAATTTTTGAGGAATGGTCCCTAACTTTCACGTAACGCTCACTAACAAGTAATTACCTTTCATCCTGTGAGCGCAATAAGCGCCGGGTCTGGAAGTCCTTTGAAACAATGTTATTAAAGGAAATACGACATTTAACGTTGTGACATATAAAATGACGTCATAATAACGTTGTGACGTTGTGTCATGACGTTACCAATCTACAACCTTCCAACACTGTTGCGAAAACGTTGTGTGTAAGTCGGGTTGATATGTGTGCCATAGTAAGAAGACGAAACACTCGTGTTTAGTTGAGTAAGAATGCAGCCACATTTGATGGTGATAGAAGCAGACCAGAAGTGGTTATTACATGGTGATGTGTTTGATACGGGTGCAGGGTTTCGGCGACTGTTTCGGCCTTCAGTAACGTCTTGTCTTGGTTTTCCAGCACCATATCCGGGCTCATGGGTCTCAACAAAATCGACAACGTCTGAGGCCTGAAACGAACTTGACTCACGTTTAGCTGATACGCATTATTTTCTATAAATGCATTTTTCAGAAGCGTTTAACTAAATTAGCTCATTTATCTACATCAGTGTTTTATCTGATTGAAAAACTGAAATTATCTGCCTCCTTTCTTCCATTTAACAAGAACGGCCTTCTGTCCTCCATGACCTTTGCCAGCCAGGCCGTTTCCGCAGTGTTGACAGGCCAGGTGGCTGACTACTTCCGGTCAAAGAAATATCTCAGCACCTCGGCCACACGGAGGCTATTCCAAAGTATCGGTCAGTATCACTGGCATTTCCGATGGGACTCCAGTTCAGAATGGAATTATTTTAGGTGTATTATTCCGGTCATTGAGGTACCTAAGCACCTGGGCAACTGAGGCTATTCGAAAGTAATGGTTAGTATAACTGACAATTCCGATCCAGTTGAGTTCCTCGTCTTGAAATTGGGGTCAAGTATGAAGTAAGAATAATCGAACTGGTTTGGCGATGCTATCGATTTTCCCTGCTTCTGTGATATCTTCTATGATGTCTCGGAGGAAAATGATATGGGATTTTGGGTCTAATACAGTCTTTACTATTGAACAGCCTACTAACCCAGCGGGGATACAGGACACCTCCACCTGTTGCGAACACCCGGTGTCATCACTATTTGATTGTGATTCATGAACACATGCTCGTGATTTAGACAAAATCGTATGATGCTGACATTTTGGAAAGGATTTTGTCTTATTCCGAAAGCGACAGGTGCCAGGGGAATGCAGGCCAACATGCAGCTGACCCTGCCGTAAATCCAACTCCCTCACTCACTGACTGCTATGAATTCCAGCCTTCCTTGGAGCTGGTGCGTGTCTGATAGCGACGGGTTTCGTGGATGTTGAACACCGCTACGTCGCCATAGCTCTGCTCACAATAGCCATGTGGTTTATGGGGTTGTCAACGGCAGGCTACCTGGTCAACTTTGTCGATTTCGCTCCAAGGTAGGCAGGTCTTTCTTGGCCTTTGAAATATTGTACCAAATGAACGTGTCACGTGTGTACTTCACCTGGAATTTGATGCAAAGGAAATTCTATTGTTCTAGATTGAAATAATATGCAATATCACATGCTACAATCACTGTTGGAGGTTAGGGATGGTTTACGTGCTGAATGTTTGTCAATATCAGTTGGTAGTCCTTCTGACTGTTTTCATGTATGTAACTAGTTATATGTTTTCAAGATCTGGTTCGCAAGTCTGACGTTAAGTCATTATAATTATTTATTGGACTTGCTTGATGATTTCTTTCATATAATTCACAGGTGCAAAGGGTGTTACACGTATTTTAACAGTTCGCAGTCTCCATAATTGGCGATGTTGTTATCCACAGCTGGTAATGTTGTTCTCCACAGTCCGTAATGTTGTTATCAACAGTCGGTAATATTGTTATCCACAGTTGATAATGTTGTTATCCACAGTCGGTTATGTTGTATTCACAGTCGGTAATGTTGTATTCACAGTCGGTAATGTTGTTATCCACAGTCGGCAATGTTGTTATCCACAGTCGGTAATGCTGTTATCCACATTCGGCAATGTTGTTATCCAGAGTCGGTAATGTTGGTATCAACTGTCTGTAATGTTGTTATCCAAAGTCGGTAATATTGTTATCCACTGTCGGTAATGCTGTTATCCACTGTCTGTAATGCTGTTATCCATAGTCGGTTATGATGTTATCCACTGTCGGTAATGTTGTTATCCACAGTCGGTAGTGTTGTTATCCACAGTCGGTAATGTTGTTATCCACTGTCGGTAATGTTGTTATCCACTGTCTGTAATGCTGTTATCCATAGTCGGTTATGTTGTTATCCACTGTCGGTAATGTTGTTATCCATATTCGGTAATGTTGTTATCCACAGTCGGTAATGTTGTTATCCACTGTCGGTAATGTTGTTATCCACAGTCGGTAATGTTGTTATCCACAGTCGGCAATGTTGTTTTCCACAATTGGTAAAGTTGTTATATCGAGTCGGTAATGTTGTTATCCACTGTCAGTAATGTTGTTATCCACAGTCGTTAGTGCTGTTATCCACACTCGGTAATGCTGTTATCCAGAGTCGGTAATGTTGTTATCCAGAGTCGGTAATGTTGTTATCCACAGTCGGTAATGTTGTTATCCACAGTCGGTAATGTTGTTATCCACAGTCGGTAATGTTGTTATGCTGTCGGTGGCTGTTATACACAGTTATGTTGTTATCCACAGTCGGTAATGCTATTATCCACACAGTCGGTAATGTTGTTATCCACAGTCGGTAATGTTGTTATCCACATTCGGTAAAATTGTTATCCACAGTCGGTCATGTTGTTATCCACTGTCGGTAATGTTGTTATCCACAGTCGGTAATGTTGTTATCCACTGTCGGTAATATTGTTATCCACTGTCGGTAATGTTGTTATACACAGTCGGTAATGTTGTTATACACAGTCGGTAATGTTGTTATACACAGTCGGTAATGTTGTTATACACAGTCGGTAATGTTGTTATCCACAATCGGTAATGTTGTTATACACAGTCGGTAATGTTGTTATCCACAGTCGGTAATATTGTTATCCACAGTCGGTAATGTTGTTATACACAGTCGGTAATGTTGTTATACACAGTCGGTAATGTTGTTATACACAATCGGTAATGTTGTTATCCACTGTCGGTAATAATGTTATCCACAATCGGTAATGTTGTTATACACAGTCGGTAATGTTGTTATACACAGTCGGTAATGTTGTTGTTATCCACACAGTCGGTAATGTTGTTATCCACACATTCGGTAATCGGTCGGTAATATTGTTATCCACTGTCGGTAATATTGTTATACACAGTCGGTAATGTTGTTCTACACATTCGGTAGTGTTGTTATCCACTGTCGGTAATATTGTTGACCACAATCGGTAATGTTGGTATACACAGTCGGTAATGTTGTTATCCACAGTCGGTAATATTGTAATCCACATTCGGTAATATTGTTATCCACAATCGGTAATGTTGTTATATACAGTCGGTAATGTTGTTCTACACAGTCGGTAATGTTGTTATCCACTGTCGGTAATATTGTTATCCACAATCGGTAATGTTGTTATCCACAATCGGTAATGTTGTTATACACAGTTGGTAATGTTGTTATGCACAGTCGGTAATGTTGTTATCCACTGGCTGTAATATTGTTATCCACAATCGGTAATGTTGTTATACACAGTCGGTTATATTGTTATCCATGGTCTGTAATGTTGTTATACACAGTCGGTAATGTTGTTATACAGAGTCGGTAATGTTGTTATACACAGTCGGTAATGTTGTTATCCATGGTCTGTAATGTTGTTATCCACAGTCGGTAATATTGTTATCCACAGTCGGTAATGCTGTTAACCACAGTCGGTAATCTTGTTATCCACAGTCGGTAATGTTGTTATACACAGTCGGTAATGTTGTTATCCACTGTCGGTAATATTGTTGATCCACAATCGGTAATGTTGTTATACACAGTCGGTAATGTTGTTCTACACAGTCGGTAATGTTGTTATCCACTGTCGGTAATATTGTTAACCACAATCGGTAATGTTGTTATACACAGTCGGTAATGTTGTTATCGGTAATGTTGTTATCCACTGTCGGTAATGTTGTTATCCACAATCGGTAATGTTGTTATACACAGTCGGTAATGTTGTTATACACAGTCGGTAATGTTGTTATCCACAGTCGGTAATATTGTTATCCACAATCGGTAATGTTGTTATACACAGTCGGTAATGTTGTTATACACAGTCGGTTATGTTGTTATCCACTGTTGGTAAAATTGTTATCCACAATCGGTAATGTTGTTATACACAGTCGGTAATATTGTTATCCACAATCGGTAATGTTGTTATACACAGTCGGTAATGTTGTTATACACAGTCGGTAATCTTGTTATACACAGTCGGTAATGTTGTTATCCATGGTCTGTAATGTTGTTATCCACAGTCGGTAATATTGTTATCCACAGTCGGTAATGCTGTTAACCACAGTCGGTAATCTTGTTATCCACAGTCGGTAATGTTGTTATCCACAGTGGCTGTAATGTTGTTATCCACAGTCTGTAATGTTGTTGTTATCCACATTCGGTAATGTTGTTATCCACTGTCGGTAATATTGTTATCCACAGTCGGTAATGTTGTTATGAACAGTCGGTAATGTTGTTATCCACATTCGGTAATGTTGTTGTCAACAGTCGGTAATGTTGTTATCCACAGTCTGTAATATTGTTATCCACAGTCGGTAATGTTGTTATCCACAATCGTGATGTTATATACAGTCGGTAATGCTGTTAATCGACGATTGGCAATGTTGTTTTCCACAATTTCTAATGTTTTTCCCCCTCTTTGCAATGTCGTTATGCACAGTTGCTCACGCATATATTCCATGTTTGCCAGTGTCCTAACTCACTAGCTGTGAACCAACACATGGTACATTTATCAACTGATATTAATTTCCATACACCACAGCTTGGAAATAACATTTGAAGTTGCCGTTTAATATATGACATGACCACCTGTGTCCAAACTGAGCAGTTATTAACCAACATATGGTACAGATATCAATTAACACATTCGACTATTAATGTCTATATATTCTTATCTGTGAAAGACCTATTCCATAAATGCCAATATTCTTCAGTTTCCATGGTAAATATTCCACAGTTATCACACAGCTGAAATAGTATCATACAAGTCTTCAACAAAGCAGCAGTATGTAACATCACTCATGATATAATACATTTTTATGTTTCAGATATGCTGGAATACTCGTCGGTATTTCAAACACAATTGCATCATTGCCAGGAATGGTAGCACCGCTTCTTGCAGGTGCCATGACTCCTCATGTAAGTCTGCGATTCCGTGTTCTATCATCCATGCACCCAAAACTCGACGAAAAATATAAACTATTTCAAATTTTCCAACCCTTTGAGGTTTCTACGCCCTGTTGTGATTAAAAGTACCTCTAACTCCTGTACGTTTCTTAAACGAACCAGGTCAGACTGATGACCCACAGTTATTACAAATTGTTCCGAAGCAAAGCGTCTCGTGCTACGTCGTAAAATAATGAAATATGTTTTCAATACAAAATCTTTGCGCAATAAGTGTTATATAATTTTAATTATTTATTTTGTCCGGACGCTCTCTTCCTGGTTGAGAATAGGGCTGAACAATTAACAACTACATATTCATCGTGACGACTGCATATGATTATACATTTTTTATACATCCCGTTGCCCAAGAAAATGTCAACTCATTCATGGAGTGAATATATTCACTCCCTGTTACTACTGCCACAGATGACACCCGTTTTGTGATCTCGAAAATGTAGTATATGTCTAATCTCGAAACATGCTCGTGTAACTAAATCAAACGCCATTAGATAGCAGGTGTTAAGGCAACCCACAAATACTTAGATTGTCATCTTGCTGAGGGAATACAAACAGTGGCTGTGCAGACCTTGCATGACTGACCTTCCATGACCAACCTTGCATGGCCGACCTCGCATCACAGCTATTACCTTATTCAGGCTGAAGATTGGGCTATAACTGAACACTTTACATCTCAGAACCCTTCCCTCTGTAGAGGCCTGGAATCACTGCGTTACAAATAACACTACAAAAAGCAAGATTTTATATTACCACATGTTTTATGATACGTTCAGTGATATATACACCTGGAAAAGGTATTGCAACACCTTGTTTTTTTCCCATACATTTCACTGCATAGTATGGAAACACAATGCTGCCAATTGATGAACATGGTAACCCATTGTTAAAACAGTGTGTATTTGAATAGAAAATTACGACATTGATGCCCAATTGAGTTTCACTTCAATGATTTCTTTACTGTTACAAATACTGGTGTAAACTGAGGTAAAACGTACACTCGAAAAGTATGGGGCTAGTAAGACAGTACGTGGGTTTACACACGTGTAATGCATATCTCATGCTAGGACACGAAAGAAATTTACCAAAACAGGTGATAATGTCAGTATCGAGTGTATTCACCCATGCCAGGATGACCGAGTGAAGACGCTCTCACAGAGTGCACCAGACGCTGTATCTGTCTTCGAGGTAGTCTATCCCACTCCTGTAGGGGAACAAGTTCGAAGTCAGCAAGATTCTGTACTGGTGGAACCCTCTCAAGCACTCGGCGTCCTAAAATGTCCCAAACATGCTCAACTGGATTGAGATCTGGACGTCGTGCTGGCCATGGTAACGTTGTGATTGCTACCTGGCGTAAGTAATCCGTCACTGTCCGACTTCTGTGGGGCCTAGCGTTGTCATCCATGTACACTGGCCTTGTGAGAATAGGGTGATTGTCAAAGTGTGGCACAACAACCCTCACCAAAATCTCCGTCTGATATCTTTGGCCAGTAAGATTAGCCCCCACAGTGTGAAGCTGGAGCTTTCAGTCGTAAGACAGCCACCCCACACCATAATCGACCCGCCATCTGGAACCTGCTCCAGAATGTTTTTCTGTGCACTTGCCGTGTTTTTACGACACCATACACGTGCTCTGCCATCGACCATGTACAGAAGAAAACGACTTTCATCAGACCAGTGAACTTTTCTCAAGCCACGACGTGCTCTACACCAAGCTAAACGTGCGGCTTTGTGTCCATCTGTTAACAGGGGTCGTCTTATTGGTCTTCTAGCACCATATCCCTCATCTTTCAGCCGGTTTCTGGCCCTACTGTGGGAAAATTGCGGATTGGGTAACCAGTCCCTTTTCAACACCTTACTTGTAGCAAATGGATTACGGCGTACATGTCTCATCAGGACTGCGTCTTCTCTTGCAGATGTGCACCGGGGTCTATACCTGAGCGTTGCCTGTCCCTTACATCTGCTGTTTGCTGGTGCTTTCGTACCAACCTACTGATTGTGGAAGGATGATGACCAACTTGGATAGCAATCTGTCTCAAAGACATTCCAGCATTTCTCATGCCAATTATCTGCCATCTTTTAGCATTTCACAACTGAGGGGGACCCATTTCATCAGTTATTGTCTGCTCCAGTGCTTTGGTGTGATGACACGTTGTAATGATGAATGGCGCAAACTTGCTTTTCAGAACAAGAGTGCACGTGTTCAACAGCTTGCAGCAGCACGTGCATCGCGAATATCCATTGTAATCATGTAGGGTGAGCCATACACACCAACAGAATCATATCTATAAACCGTGCATCAGTCTGTGAAATAATATTTTATATTTTGGCAATTGATTCTGGTGTTGCGATACTTTTTTCCAGGTGTATAATACAGGTGTATACGCTAAGTCTGAGTAACATTCCAGAGGCAACCAGGTAATGAAAGTGGATGAGTTGATAATGGGTTCAAAACACACGTATTCATGCTGCTTTTAGAAAAAAACCCGTAGCATTGTTCGATTAACTTCAACATTTTACCAGTGGCATAGATATCTAGTTTTGGTGACGCGAATAAAGGTATCTCATGTTGCCCAGTGTGACATTTGTGTGGAAATGTTTGATAAATTTTTCAACAAATACAGATCGGAGTGACCCGGTACAACACACTCTCTGACTAGTGTAACTCTCGTGGTACAGATCCAGTCCGTTACCACGGCCCTACACCACAGACTCATTCTTTTTGCTACGACCTTACAACACAGACTAAACCCTATTACGACTTGTAACGGAGACATTGTCTGTCAGCTACGGTCCTGTAGCAACGATCCTGTAACACAGACCTAGTCCTATAGCTACGATCCTGTAACACAGACCTAGTGCTATAGCTACGAACCTGTAACACAGACTTAGCCCTATAGCTACGATCCTGTAACACAGACTTAGTCCTATAGTTACGATCCTGTAACACAGACCTAGTCCTATAGCTACGATCCTGTAACACAGACCTAGTCCTATAGCTACGATCCTGTAACACAGATTTAGTCCTATAGCTACGGTCCTGTAACAGACTTAGTCCTATAGTTACGATCCTGTAACACAGACCTAGTCCTATAGCTACGATCCTGTAACACGGACCTAGTCCTATAGCTACGGTCCTGTAACACAGACCTAGTCCTATAGCTACGATCCTGTAACACAGACTTAGTCCTATAGCAACGATCCTGTAACACAGACCTAGTCCTATAGTTACGATCCTGTAACACAGACCTAGTCCTATAGCAACGATCCTGTAACACAGACCTAGTCCTATAGCTACGATCCTGTAACACAGACTTAGTCCTATAGTTACGATCCTGTAACAAAGACCTAGTCCTATAGTTACGATCCTGTAACACAGACCTAGACCTATAGTTACGATCCTGTAACAAAGACCTAGTCCTATAGTTACGACCTTGTCCTTTAGCTACGATCATGCACAATACTTAGTATATAGTTACGATCCTGTAACAGAGATTACGCCTTATTGTTTTGTTTATGTCACATCAGTTTTATTATGCATGTGCTGGTGATTACCTCAGCGTGCCTGTTTCCAGCCATCATTCACTCACTCACTCCTCTCTCCCTTAACAGAAAACCCAGGAGGAATGGAGGAACGTGTTCTACGTGTGTGGGGGGTTCTGTGTCCTGGGAACTGTCGTGTTTGGGACCCAGGCCAGGGGGGAGCTGCAGCCCTGGGCCGTGGACCGGGTGGTGATAGAAATAGGGGAGGAGCAGGGGGTGCCTATGTTGGAAAAAGTCACCGATTTCAAAGACGTACTTTTATCAAACAAGCAGACAACGAACCCTGCGGAGAGTTTGAGTAACAATATACCGGCCATCATTCCAGAAAAGGAAACAGATATAGTATGACCAGAAATGATTGAGAATTTTAGGAATATGTTTAATTGGATTTCTAGTATAAACAACCTTGACCAGCTATCAAGTGCTTGGTTCATTCAAGAGAGACAACTCCGTTAATCCTTTTGCAATAGTTTGTGAAGAGTTATCCCCCTTTGTTTACTTGCTAGAAGACGACATTTTCAGTGATCCTCAGTATGGATGATTTAGAGAAGAGGAAGTTTATATTATAACAAGGACTTCTGATCAGATTAAGTGATTTCAAGTAGAACAGGCATCCCTTTGTCCACTGTTTATTGTGTTTTGAAAAATATTGCAAATGGATATGGCATTGAGCACCAGGGAGGCGCAGGTAGGCCCAGAAAATTGATTGTCGGTGACAGGAGGCGGCTTGGTATTCTTGTTTCTAAAAACAAACGAAGGAGTTTAGAAAACTTAAGGCTGGATATCATTGATAGAGCAACTGTGGCTGTCTCTAAGGAGACAATTAGAACTGAGCTGCATGCAGTGGGTTTGCAGAAAAGTCGAGGAATTCCATCACCGATCATGAAACCTGAACAAAAGGATCGAAGGTTGAACTGGTGCTTACAGCATAGAAATTTTAACTGGGACAATGTGAATTTCTAAGATGAAAGTTGTGTGTGGATGTTTCCTCAAACACTGAAATTCTGGACCAAACAAACTGAAAAACCTTTGTATCAGCGCCCAAAGTACAGTCCGAAATTTAACGTGTGGGGTGGCATATCTGTGTTAGGGGCAACGCCCCTCTGTGTATTTGAAGGGAATATGAACAGTGAGCGGTACACAGATATTCTCGAGGGACATTTACTTCCGTCTGCTCACGAGTTCTATGGAAATTGTGGATTTCCCAGCAGGACAACGACCCAACACATCATTCAAAGCACTCACAGGCCTGGTTTCGGACCCAAAATATGACATTGTTAGATTGGCCAAGCTATAGCCCGGACCTAAATCCAATGGAAAATGTTTGGGGACTTATGAAGGAATGTGTCAATAAGAAAAATCTGACAAATATTGCTAAAATGAAAGAAGAGATGGTCCGATATTGGGACAGCATGGACCACGACTTTCTAACTTCTTTGATCAATAGTATGCCCCGCCGCATTGAAGCCTGCGTTGCTGCCCATGGTGACTTGACAAAATACTAAATGTTCACCTGTCTTTGAATCTGGAGTTTTGTTCCGCTAATATTCACATTTAATACGTGAGTAATGAGTGAATCTTTAAATTCTCAATAATTTCTGGTTGTTCTGTATCTTAGTGAGAGGTGATACTTCCTCCTTATGACAGGCCGTGTACTTCAACTTTTTTCTTACACGCCCAAGGAAGATACTGCAGTGTAATATTTTTACAGCCATATTACTCCAGCTTATCCAGATACAGCACCCAAGTGTATGATACAACTGAAGTGTGTCCTCCTCTCACAGATTTCGTGAAACAAAACAAACAATAGTCATTCCCACCAATCTGCATATCCCGGAAACAACGTGTTGTGAAAAACATAATTTGGATTTCTTTTTAGGACAAAATCTATTTCCGAGCAACATGAAGTACATTTATAAGATTCTGAAGATTAAAAAGTCCACATGACGTAAATCGGACTCAGAGAAGCATATATATTATTTATCCACAGTTACAACAGATTTTAAAGGGAATAATATTAATGGTCGTTTTGGTCGTCACCATACCTCTTCCCCGTCAGTCATGATGAGATTCTGGTTCCATCTTTAAACAGCATGGGGCGTTGGGGTAGTCTGGGTGTTAAAGCGTTCGCTTGTCACACCAAAGACCCGGGTTCGAATCCCCACATGGGTACAATGTGTGAAGCCCATTTCCCCCGCCGTGATGTTGGAATATTTTAAAAGCGGCGTAAAACTATATTCACTCTAAACAGTGTTGGTGCCGTGCAGAGGAGCATTAGTCAAAATATAATAGAAATTTCTTTCGCTTCGTAGGGATTAAGGCTGGAACAGGTCCCCATTGACCTTTGCTGGTCGTACGAAACAACCAAATGGATCAGATAGTCAAACAACTCCTGCATACCACAACCAATCCTGTACAGTGTAATGTGAACCAGTGTCTAACATACTAGCTATCGTCGACCATTCTTTAATCAAATTGATTCCATGTATTGTGGTATCGGATATTCACTGCACATGTAAACACTCGATAAGTAATGACATCGTACAAAACAGAACAACTTATGCCACGTGTCGTATATAACGGTAATACAGGAATAGATCCGGGTTAGAATATTGATCTTTAGAAATCAACCCGTGCTTGTCGTAAAAGGCGACTAACGGGGTCGGGTGGTCAGGCTCGCTGTCATCGTATCCCAATTGCGTAGAACGAAGCTCATGCTGTTGATCACTTTATTGTCTGGCCCTGACTCGATTATAACTCGTGGGAGGCGACTCATCGTGTGGTCAAACTCGCTGACTTGGTTGACACATGTCATTGAATCTCAGCTGTTTAGAGCGATGCTCATGATGTGAATCACTGGATTGTCTGGACAGGCCCAGACTTGATTATTTAAAGACCACCGTAATGTTGCTGAAGACTTGCTGAGTGCGGTGTTAAGCAAGCAAGCAAGCATGCTGACATATATCTTCCCGTTCTCGAGCTCTATGGCACTTTGCATACCACATTATATGTAATACTGACATAGTTCACCATCATCGCTTGGTTAAGTTTAAAATAATTAAAAGCGAACATAATATTTGAAGTTGAGATCCACAAAAAGGTCGTTAATCAAAACACGGACACAAGTCCGCCCAACATTTGAAGCCAAGTAGGCTGTCTGTGTTCCCGTCCTCATTAAAGTACATGTGGAATGTGCTGACTAGGCACGTAGCCGACACACACAGGCGAGACAGATAACGAGCCATGCAACAGTTGGGCAACGAAAACATACTGCTGTTATCTTAGAAGAGACGAAAGTAAAGGAGCGGTGGAATAGCCTAGTGGTGAAAGCGTTCGCTCGTCACGCCGAAGACCCGGGTTCGATTACCCACATAGGTACAAAGTGTGAAGCCCATTTCTGGTGTCCCCCTCCGTGATATTGCTGGAATGTTGCTAAAAGCGGCGTAAAATCAAACTTACTCACTCACTCGACTGAGTGAACAGTCATATATATAACGCACCGGTGCCTTACGTGAACATACCAACGTAACTAGAAAATAACTAACATATATCTTTTCTGCACCTGACAGTTAATATTATTCGATATCTCAAAGACAGAATTATTGTGATCATTATAAAAAAAGGCTAAAATAGATACAGCTGTAGCATAGTCACAAAGTGGATACAGTATGAAATGACCTTTCACATTCCTTTGAAATTCATTGGCACGTTCTGAACAGCTTGGTAGGGGAATGGCTTCCGCCGCTAAAGCTGAAATGTTATTTTTTTGTGTTTGTTCGCTGCTTATTTTTTTGACAAGTTCATACATAGATATTTTTATATTTCTTTTTAGTGCTATCACACGACGTTACTTGGTTTCGTGTTATTATCATCCGTGAAAATCCGGGTCAGAATTGATCTTCATTAACTCATGCTTGTCGTAAAAAGGCGATTAACGGGATCGGATGGTCAGGCTCGCTGACTTGGTTGACACATGTTATCGTATCCCAGTTGCGTGCATCGATGCTCATGCTGTTGATCACTGGATT